ATATATATATATATAAATGTATTGATAGAATAGTGTTTATTTTCCGGAAAAAACTTGGAAACTTGGAATTCTAATAAATTTTTATTGTATCCGAAAAATCAAAGAATTCTTGTAGAATTTTATTGGGACACGAGGAATTTATTATCTTTGTAAATGTATTGATAGAATAGTGTTTATTTTCCGGAAAAACGTGGAAAACTTGGAATTCTAATAAATTTTTATTGTATCCGAAAAATCAAAGAATTCTTGTAGAATTTTATTGGGACACGAGGAATTTTTAAAAAAATTATCTTTGATAATTTTGCTCTTTTATATTGTAAATATAAATAATCTACAGTTCTTTGATAAACCAAGTTGTAAATTATATGTTTAAAATATATTAAATATGTACCCTATCTCTCCGTTTATGTATATTCAATGCCTTAACAAAATATTGAATATGCAAGTACATATCTTTTATTGTAATTTTTTAAAAATAAATAAAAGATAAAAAAATCTAGCACTTGAAACTTAAGTGACTCTATATTTTTCCTTCATATAAATGAAAAACATTAGAAAACGCATACTATAAAAAAGTTTGTTTTATAAAGTTGCCCCAAAAATATTCTCTTTACCTGCGATTTTGAATAAAAATATTTAGAGGATCAGGGAATTTCCAGAAAATTTTTTTTTACAAAATTGGAGTAGATACCCCATAGAATAATATGTTACACATATTTTAAGGAAAATATCTCAATATAAATTCCAGGCCAACATAAGGCACGAAAAAAAAATATGCATTATTTATTTTCTTTCTCTTGGATTTATAGAGATTTTTGTCTTCACGCGTTAATTCTTATCGAAATGTCTATACACGTGTCTCTTCCCTTATCCATCTCTAGCCTAATCCATGTCTCAAATGGCAAGTATAATGCCTGACTTGTGATATTACACAAACTCGCCGACCGGCGCACCCTCCTCTATTGAAAGCAACGACTTTTTACTCTGTACAAGCGCGCTTGCTTTGTTCCCTGGCTCTCGATTGATATCGTTAGTCGTTACTATCAGTTCCGAGGTGTGTAACCGTTTGCTGTTACGGTTCGAATTACACGCGCACCGTTGTAATCTCCCACAAGTAATCGCCTCCTTCTTCCATATGTGTGACTTCTCCGGCTTATAGCTTATTCTTCTTCTCTTTTACGCGTGTAACAAACGGCAATTACGATAGCACGCGATATCGGTATGGCAAAGGCGTCCCTGCTTAAAAAGCCCAATAAGAAATAATGAAGACAGATTTAACTTTTATTAAAATTTTATATAATTATCGTAAGCTATTATTTCAATCGGACTCATATAAAATATAAAAAAGATAAAGAGTTCGTATTTTGACAGATTAGATATGTACTGATTCAATCGATTACAATTATCAAATAATATGTATAACTGTTGCGTCCTATGTACTTTTTGTCGAATTTTTTAAAAAACGAGAGAAAAATTTAATAAATTTGAGATTCATATTTTTCTAAAATAAAATTTCCACGGAAACTGTGGGACAAAAATTAAAAAATTAGAACACATGTTCCTTGAATTTTTTATTATTACGCGCCAACTTTGAATTATATCTTTGAGTAGGGGAAAATATTTCGAACATTGCAATGTAATAATGTATTCACTAAATTGGCGGAATTTTCAGAAGCCAATTTTGATCGGATTCTCTCGTCAACGTAACGTGTTTCCGCGCTATTTTAGATATCGTAAGCGTTACTTCATACAGTTACGGATTTCAACGTTCGGGTTGTAAAGCAGAGAAAAACAATTACGTGCCGAGAGCAAAAGGTAACACCGTCGAGTAACAATAGGCGGAACGGGAACTCATCCGTCGAGCCTTATCTAGAAAAACTGCGCGCACGCAATGCCGGAAGCGGAAAATAGTGTGCTCTCTTTCTTACAAACTATGCACGGCTTAACGATTCACTAATTAGCAGACTTTCCGACTAGATGCACAACGCATTCGCAATAATAATATATAGTAATATAGTATTCTAAACAAAATTTTTGCATAATAACAATTAATAATAATAATAATAAATAATGAATATTTCTCAGCCGAAGAGATTCTCGAACTTGTCCGCGAATTTTCCCCATCTCGCCTTATATTTCTCAAGTTTTTTCGATTACATTTTCTCATTTTCTATATTTTTAGCAATTCCGTGATCGCGAATTTTCATTGTCAAGGGACATTTTTAAATCTCGTATATATCTTTTTTTACTTAGGAGCATCCTCGCGCATTTTACACACGTATTAAATTACATCTTTCTCTCTCTCTCTTTATTGCATTTCTCACTATTCCCATGAAAAATTTCTCGCCATGATTCGATGATGCGACAATAGATAGAAAACAAAGAGAAAAGAATCCAAAGACAAAAGTGAAGAGAAGCGGAAGAAAATTGCGAATAGGGATCGACGACGACGGATGAATATCAGAGGAAGAGGAGAAGAAATAAGGGATTCTCTCTTGGTTCTCTTCGGGTATCGGAGAGACCCTCCTTGTGGAGACTATGAGAACGTTCCCACTCCCACGTCCAAAGTGCTCTTTTCCTTTTCCTACGTGCCTCTTTTTTCCCTCCCTCGCCCTTCTCGCCACCGCTGTCGTCCCCGACTCATCCTTTTCTCCCTCTCGTTATCTCCGTCTTCTCCCGTGCATGCATCCTTCCTTCCTCGTACACCTACGTGCGTCGGTTGAGCGATCGCAGTTCATCACGGTTCTCGAGTTCTCGAATATACGGTTTCAGGGACGGCGGAATAAGGTTCACTAGGCGCCCTGATCTCGATGTACGACGCGCGAATCGAATAAATTAAAGCTTATTCGGAAAGGAACGGTTAAGAATTATAGACAAAAATGTAGAGATACGAGGCCGATATTTCTCAGTTTTAATTATACCACGTTGGACATTCCGAAGCTCCGTATTTTTTTCGAAGAAAAAATCACGAACAACCATCCTATCATATATTTCGATCATTTCATCATATTTTAACTTCCAACTTTCATAACAAAAGACTACAGGTGCTATTCAGGAATGAGACGTTGACGAGAAAACACTTACCCTGCCGACGAAGAAGCGACGATAGCACTTGGCCGTATCATCCTGGTCTATCCTGGGCTGCCAGGCCGGCTGCGCCGGCAGCAACGCCCTGCCAGCCGAGTCGAGGGTATGTCGATGATCGGTACCATCGACCCAGTATCCGGACGGCGTGACGACTAAGGGCGGTTGGGCGCCGGTCGCGGCCTGCTGTTGCAGGGCCGCTTCCATGAGCGACTTGCCGAAGGGCGCATCGCCCACCGGCGACGGTGACAGCGCCGGGGTGTGATTGCTAGGCGCACCGCCGGGACTCGACGTCGTCCTGTCATCTCTCGGCGTCTGCAACGAAATTATAGACACCAATTATTCATCCGGTCATGCCTGTGTTTATGATTTATATCTTTACAAGGAAGATTTTTCCGTGCAATTGCATTATTTTTATTTATTTATTTAATATTAGAAAAACTGCGCGCACGCAATGCCGGAAGCGGAAAATAGTGTGCTCTCTTTCTTACAAACTATGCACGGCTTAACGATTCACTAATTAGCAGACTTTCCGACTAGATGCACAACGCATTCGCAATAATAATATATAGTAATATAGTATTCTAAACAAAATTTTTGCATAATAACAATTAATAATAATAATAATAAATAATGAATATTTCTCAGCCGAAGAGATTCTCGAACTTGTCCGCGAATTTTCCCCATCTCGCCTTATATTTCTCAAGTTTTTTCGATTACATTTTCTCATTTTCTATATTTTTAGCAATTCCGTGATCGCGAATTTTCATTGTCAAGGGACATTTTTAAATCTCGTATATATCTTTTTTTACTTAGGAGCATCCTCGCGCATTTTACACACGTATTAAATTACATCTTTCTCTCTCTCTCTTTATTGCATTTCTCACTATTCCCATGAAAAATTTCTCGCCATGATTCGATGATGCGACAATAGATAGAAAACAAAGAGAAAAGAATCCAAAGACAAAAGTGAAGAGAAGCGGAAGAAAATTGCGAATAGGGATCGACGACGACGGATGAATATCAGAGGAAGAGGAGAAGAAATAAGGGATTCTCTCTTGGTTCTCTTCGGGTATCGGAGAGACCCTCCTTGTGGAGACTATGAGAACGTTCCCACTCCCACGTCCAAAGTGCTCTTTTCCTTTTCCTACGTGCCTCTTTTTTCCCTCCCTCGCCCTTCTCGCCACCGCTGTCGTCCCCGACTCATCCTTTTCTCCCTCTCGTTATCTCCGTCTTCTCCCGTGCATGCATCCTTCCTTCCTCGTACACCTACGTGCGTCGGTTGAGCGATCGCAGTTCATCACGGTTCTCGAGTTCTCGAATATACGGTTTCAGGGACGGCGGAATAAGGTTCACTAGGCGCCCTGATCTCGATGTACGACGCGCGAATCGAATAAATTAAAGCTTATTCGGAAAGGAACGGTTAAGAATTATAGACAAAAATGTAGAGATACGAGGCCGATATTTCTCAGTTTTAATTATACCACGTTGGACATTCCGAAGCTCCGTATTTTTTTCGAAGAAAAAATCACGAACAACCATCCTATCATATATTTCGATCATTTCATCATATTTTAACTTCCAACTTTCATAACAAAAGACTACAGGTGCTATTCAGGAATGAGACGTTGACGAGAAAACACTTACCCTGCCGACGAAGAAGCGACGATAGCACTTGGCCGTATCATCCTGGTCTATCCTGGGCTGCCAGGCCGGCTGCGCCGGCAGCAACGCCCTGCCAGCCGAGTCGAGGGTATGTCGATGATCGGTACCATCGACCCAGTATCCGGACGGCGTGACGACTAAGGGCGGTTGGGCGCCGGTCGCGGCCTGCTGTTGCAGGGCCGCTTCCATGAGCGACTTGCCGAAGGGCGCATCGCCCACCGGCGACGGTGACAGCGCCGGGGTGTGATTGCTAGGCGCACCGCCGGGACTCGACGTCGTCCTGTCATCTCTCGGCGTCTGCAACGAAATTATAGACACCAATTATTCATCCGGTCATGCCTGTGTTTATGATTTATATCTTTACAAGGAAGATTTCCGTGCAATTGCATTATTTTTATTTATTTATTTAATATTATTTAATATTACTATTTAATATTATTTATTTTATTTATTTATTTATTTATTTAATATTATTTTATTTATCACTCAGTTTTAAAACAGAAAAAGATTGCTAAAAAATCGATTATAAATCTTCTAAATTCATCAACATGCTCTTATTTTTCGGTTTAATTAAAAGCTGCACTTTATTAAGATATCAATTTGAGAAATCCATTTATAATTTATTTGGTTTGATTCATAACACAATTTGTACATTTGTTTGCTCGTGTATATGCTAAATAGATTTGTAACGAGAGTTCTTGAAGCTCGAGAGTATTTCTTCCGTGATCTTTTTTGACGAAGGATTACGTAATGATTACTACACAAAGAGCAAAACATTTTTTTTTTTGTCATTACGTTATTCTATATGTGTTTATAGATTTGAATCTATTTTTATCTTTCTTGTCATAATCTTTTTACTATAATTTAGTTGACTTTGGGGATTAAGATCTCAATTTTCGCCTTTTTCAAAAATCCAATTAAAAAGAAATTAAATAATATTACCAAGATTATTATATATGATACAATCTGATAGAAAATAATCTCTACTAAACATCTCAATATGTTTTCGTAGTTAGAATGTCGATACTTCTATGTTCGTGTCACCTGGCGTTATCGGCCACTTATTTATCAGTCGTCAATGCATGTATCGAATCATCCGTTCTCGTAGTCGGCGACATTGATTGCCTCGTGCTGTTCGTCTTTCCCGAGGCGAACACGATCGATCGACATAAGCGGAAGAAGCGAGGAGTCTCGACGCGTGTCGTAAACGTCAAGGAGAGATCGAGGCGAGTAGGTCGAACGGTAGACACGACAGTTCTACATACGAGCGCGCGTTCGTCGGAGAAACGGAAACGAAATACGTCCACGTGTCACCGAACACCGTGGGCACCCACGCGGAGATCCTCATGTGGACCAAGTCAAATATCGGCTGTCACCCGATAGGTACTTGGGATACTTGCCCCGCAATGAAACGCATATCGATATGTGTGTGAAGCAACTTCGAGTATCTCTCGTCTACGCATGCGGGGGCATCAAATAATTATTATTATTTTATTCACGATGGTAAAATTTTAATATCCGCGCGATGTCAACGATAAATTTCCCGCACACATTTAGTAATGAATGCAGCTAAATTATTTCTCATTAATAGATATATGTAATTCGTATACAGCAATTGATATTTTTTTCTTAATTACTTTGAAAATTAATAATAAAATAATTTTATTCAATTATTTTATTACGACGAAAGAGAAATATAGAGAGGGAAAAAGTAGATTAACAGAATGAATGGAGCTTTCGAACGCAGTGATTAATCCACTCGCGATTAATTATGCATAGTCAAACTTTAATGTGAATGGAGAGCATCAATGGATTTCTCCCGAGTTGAACGTGTAAAAGCGATCGCGCGTAAACACGCATTTTCTCTCGATCTTCATTAGGGAAGATTGCGACTTATTCATGTCACGTGGCTGTAATCGGCCGTTTCACACTCAGGTATATCTGCTGAATTTGACCCCAATTCCACGCTTCTGCTAAATTTAAATGGCACTTCCCGTGCATCTCTATTTCGTATTACTTTCTGAAATTTAATTCGAGTTTTGCATACTGCGAATAAGTACGCACATTTTCACACGGGAAAATACATTTTATTTCAATTATTATTAAAGATTGAAAGAAATACTGCAAAAGTTAAATCTTGTACGAGATCAGGTTATCCGCAGAAATATGAAAAGTGAGAAAATTTAATCATAATCGAATCTTCAAAGAACCGCACGATCGATCGCGGAATCGATATTATTATGACCTCTTCCTCTTTCACTCTATCCGCGGAATAATTCTATCTTCGTGGAAAGGTGCAATTCCGCGATAGCTTCATCGATCAGTGACGCGCATCGCGAGCGGGATTACATTACCACGTGTATTATACACGCGCTATCGCACACAGGTGCATACCGCTAAATGCACGTGCCACTGTATGCACATCCGCTGCTAGCGCGAAATATCGACGCGATTTAGTTATCGGATATCACTTCAAAGCGAGATCGCGTAATCCGGTCACCTCGATCAAATCTCAGTCCAATAGGAAATTATTAACGCATCAATCGCGAATTATACGCGCGACGATTTCCGCGAAATGCCCTAAGTCAACTTAGAATGTTTATTCAAATATTGTAAAAAAAAATTCTTCCAGGTATTTTTGTTCAAAATTCTAAAGAGAATATTTTAAAGATTTTTTGGTGTAACTTCCTAAAATAAGATTTTCATCGTATGCGTTTTCTAATGCTTGAAAATCTTTCATGAGATAAAAATTTTTCATTTGCGTAACATTTTCATTTTTTTTTATCACTGAAAACTACAATAAAGAATTGCATCTTCAATATTTTGTTAAGATATTGAATATTTTAATATTATCATCAATTATCAAAAAGAGAATTTAAAAAAAAATTCCCTGAGTCTCAATAAAATTCCTTGAGAATTCCCTCATTTTTTCAGGTACAAAAGAAATCTCTGAAAATTTTAGGTTTTCTATGTTTATTTCCAGAGACTAGATACCTTGCAACTGTTTCAAATATGATAATCGATTCTAATAATTTGAAGAATTAAAGATACTTTGAATCGTTATTATTTTTTAAAAGAGAGAGGTCGATTTTTTTAAGCTGTTGATCTTTTTCGCTGTCTTAGATGAAATGCTCTTTTTTGTCGCTCTTTTATTCTCTTTTTCAATTTAAAAAACGTACGAAATCGTTGCGATCATCGTCGATTATTATCCGGACGCATCCAAGTTGTCTCAACTGAATGTTCACTCGAAAGACTTGTCCCGATGAAACCATTCTATTTCGAGTCCGGTTCCGTTCGAACGGCACGGCAGAATGAACACGATTCTAACGAGGCACGCGGCGGAGAGAAAAAAACGCCGGAGCGGCGTAAAACGCGGTTTAAAAGTAATGCGGATGTGGCCTCTCGGATTACGTTTCTTCGAGGTCTTCTTCCTCGTCGATTTTTCCGTGTGCTCTTCCTCTTTCTTTCTCTGTCTCTCTCTCCCTCTTTCAAGAGCATTTTTCAACCATCGCGTGTCTCCGAAGAGACTCTCCTTTCGTCCGCTAATTTTAAGCGTCTCTAATTTCGAATGCAAGATAAAAAAAAAAGAATCCAGAGATGTAAGTGCTCGAAAAAGAAAAGACAAAGAGAGACAGAGCGCAGCCTCCTCCGCCAAATATAAACCCCAGCGCGGCGGAGGAGTCCGGATAAAGGACTGGAGAAGGAAATACATATCGCAAAACGCTTCAGTCCCAGCTACTAAACGAATAGATTAATTCGTTATATTTAGAATATTTTCGAGATTGTGATTTTGAATGGATTTGAGTTAAATATAAATATATAGACGTATAAGGATAGATAGACAAATTTTTTGCATTTGTTTCAAACCAGCACAAGGATTCACATCAATATTTTTTAAAGCTAATTTCAATTAAATAAAAAAGAATTATTTTATCTATCAAAAATATTTAAAATTATTATTTTTGATTGAACAATTATTTTATATTCGTCCTGCATACTGTAGTATTTTTTAAATAAAAACATGGGAATGTATTTCTTTCTCAACAAACTTTCGATATCAAAACTGTTCGAACGAACGAGTTATTGACGAGTTTATAACACCTTCCGAGACACCCGACGTTCCAATGTCGAATGGATCTCGATGGGTCTTGAAAGCGTCGAAATAAGGAGAGCCAATCGCGACCCCGATAAAACACATACACACACATTGCAATATCTAGCACATAACAGCTGCTGATATATTATTACCGGTACCACCACCTGCTGCGACGCCATGTGTGCTTGTATTATTTACACCCGCTGCCCGCTTTTTGTGGCGACCATTTTCACCATATAATCGTGTAACGGACGTATTTTACAGGTGACGACGAAATTTTCAATGAAAACAACGAGAAGTAGCGGTTCTAATTACGAGATTCTGAACAGAATATTAAATTGGAAATGTAATAAAATTTAATTATGATAATGTTATAACGTGTTATTGAAATTTCAATTTTCAGAAAGAACGTAAACACAATATATTACAAATTCAACTGTATAATGTTTTCTTTTACGCAATAATATTTGGTGATTGCGCAATTAAAACGTTAAGGAAGGTAAAGAAAGTTATGTGTTAAATGTAATCATCCAGTATTCGCAAACTTGCAATCGGTAGTCCACGAATTTTCAATGCGATTCACTCTTTTTGTTTTTGTTTAATTTTTCGAGCTCTTGAAGAATTATGTTGATCGATATTAAGGATTTGGCTGTACAATAGTAGCGAAAAACTGTCAAAATTAAAAAAAAAAAAAGTTCTTACATTTATACTATTTGAAAAATAAAATAAATAAATCCGGATTATAAAAAGAATTAAAAAATCACAAAATAATATGGTTTTTGACGTCTTCGCAAAAGAAAATAGTTGTAATTAATATTTTTCCTAATTTATGAAGAAAACTTTTGATCGTGAATATCCTCTGAAATCAACTGCAAAAAAAAACGAGTAATTTGCAAAAAGAGAGAGAAAGACAGATAATATTTTTCTACATGTTTAAATCACAAAATAATATGGTTTTTGACGTCTTCGCAAAAGAAAATAGTTGTAATTAATATTTTTCCTAATTTATGAAGAAAACTTTTGATCGTGAATATCCTCTGAAATCAACTGCAAAAAAAAAAAACGAGTAATTTGCAAAAAGAGAGAGAAAAACAGATAATATTTTTCTACAATTTTTAGTAAATAATTTTTAAACGAGTAAGTGGATCTAAATCAAGTTTTGCATAAATATTTATTAGAGTTTTCTTAATATATGTGAAAA